TTTTGAAAAGCTTTAATCTCTTTGGCATGAGTAAACATACCTTTCTTGGCTGGTACCTGCACATCGAAGGCATCAATTAGTTTCTGTTGAATTGTAAGAGTATCGAACATATAAGTTTGATAAAACTTGGTCCACCATTCCAGAAATCCCTTAGCTGTAAGATGGGTAGGTTCGAAGGTTATTAGCTCAAACTGGGCAAAGCCTTGGTATTGTTCTTGCTGTAATTTTTCTTCTCGTGCCTTGAAAGTTCACCCAGAGGTAATGGCACTCTCAGTTTGAAATAAGGGTTCAGGAATTAGTTGGCATAAGCCAAACTGTCTCGAAACAAAATTTGGCTGGTAAGCGAAAAGGAAAATCTGATTCTTGGCAGGAGTTATTCTTGAATAAATGAGTCTAGGTAGCAAAAAGGCTCTCCATACATCCTGAATCTCCTTGCTCTTGACAGCTTTTGAGAGAGCCATGGTGAACCAGGAAGGTCCATGAGCCCTCGAAGCAAAAGGTGCCATGGTCTCTTCGAACTTATGCCTCTTGGAGAATATCATGATGTACTTCGAGAATAGGACTTTGAAGTCATCTTTGTCGTCATTTGGAGTTAATCTTCGCAGCCTAGTGCCTTCGACTATTCTATCAGTTATCTCAGGGTCTTGTTCATCAATGGTGTTGGCAGTTGACAAGGAGGGTTCGAACATGGCATTTAGCCATATCTGAAGTAACCAAAAAGGGCCAGCCAACAGGATATTCTTGGAGGTGTGAGATTTTAGGCTCGAAACAACTGACCTTAGGCTTTCATAAAGGTCAACTAAGAGCAGTTCACTTAAGCATACTCTTCGATTTTCATGCAAATCCCTAGCTAGAGGAATAAACCTACTGGCTACCTGTAGGGATCTACTGCAGAAGACGTATCTTGACAGCCATAGGGTAAGGAAAGCAATGTGTTCTACATCAGATACACTGTCTCCCTCAGCATGGTAGTGACTGATAAACTTGGAAAAACTTGCTAGTTTGACTTCGAAGTCGATTATACTTGAATGTTCTTCGTTGTCAGGGATATATGTTTCTCCTACTGGTGATAGCCCAGTGATGGCCGCTATGTCAAAGAAGGTAGGGGTGATCATTCCACCAGGGAGATGTAAAGTATTATAGGTATTGTCCCAGAAATAGAGGGACGCGAATAACAAAGGGTGGTTGTAAGTGAAGCCAGGCTTCGACAACTTAATCAAGTTGTAGATACCTAATTCTTCCCATTGCTGGGATTTCTTAGCTTCTACCTTATTGAACCAGTTTTGATAAGCAGTGTCGGAGGTGGGGCAAGATCGAAACGGTTTAAAATTACTTTTTACATAGTCTAATACAAAAGGGTCCTTAGGAGGAACAGTTGGATTTTCCATGGTGTTTGAGCCAGAAGATTCTATTGCCTTAGGGGCGTCCATTTTGTTAAACAAGGGTTTGAAACTATAGCAAACTGGGAAAATTGTCCTGGTATCTTTTAAAATTTCAAAAACCGTAAGAGGGCCCATTAAAGCTAACCTCTTACCAGCAGCGGTGGTAGGAATGAGTACCTGTGATGCATAAAGCATTTCTTTTTCCTTTGAGATCATCTGGGGAGCAAGAACGGATTGACCTTGGTGAGTGATAACCTTACTTTCCATTGTAGTTCCTGCGGTCTTTCCTTTCTTCTTGGAAACCTTTTTGAGTTGGGATGAAGTAGAAGAAGACATTTTTGAAGAATGTTGAAAGCTTAGGGTTTTTGGTGAGAAAAGAAGGATAAAAGATTCAGAATGTGGAAAGAAAAGAAAAAGACTAAGTTGATGGTTTTTATAATGTGGAAGTTTAAGCATCCACTGAATAAGGTTGTGATACGTGGTACTTATGGGTTGGTGTGATGAAGAGGTGGCGTAAAGTTAACATGGGTAATAGGCGTGATTTAAAGATAACCATTGTTTTGTAACTGCACCATACTGTGAAGTGGCTCCAGGCGGTTAAGGAATCCAAAAGTGTTATGATTGACGTGACTGGAGTCAAATGCATTAAATGTTACGATGATTCGAAGGTCTCATCAAAATCTTGTGTGGATGTTTAAAATAAGTATTTCTCAAAGAAATCGAAATACATATTTTAAAGGGGCATTTTGTTGGCTGAAGATTTTGATAATATTATTAGAAGCCAAGTGAATTGAACGTTTCGATCAAAATGAAACAAAGCGTCATGTTTCGAAATAGCAGAAGCAGTGTTTCGAATAAGCATATCAAAGCTTGGAGCTTCGAGTGGAAATTATGGGAACATATCTAAAGAAGTCTCGAAATGACAACGAGGCTGTGTCTGAGAAGTGCGTTCGAAGCGGAGAAGTACCAAAACATTTGAAATTCAAATGCAAGCGGGACATTCGAAGTTTGAAATTTATGTGCTGGAGCATTTGGAGACACGTGGAAACAAGAGAGAGGCATTGTTCTGTATGTTCTGAATGTGGCATAATCTTATAGCAAGACCGTTATGGTCGAAGTAGTATAAATAGAAGTCTTAGTATTAGGATTTCGTGTGTCATATCTATTGTACTAAATACTCAGTAAACATTCAAATTACCACATGGTTAGGGAAACGAATGCAAGAGCAATGTACGTATGATAGCACCACATGTTTATGATTTAATGAAAACCTTTTATCATTTCCAGTACTTTCCTTTATCTTTCTGCCAAATACCATTTACAAGTTTTCTCATTTAAAGTCTTTTTATTCGAAATTTTTTCATTGAAGCCTTACATTTTAATGCTTTCTTTACATTTCAAACACTTTACATTTCAGAAAACTGTCATACTTTTCATGCCTTTATCTGCAAGTTTTATCTTTCGAACGCCTATTTTTACTTAAAGTCATTTTACAGATTTCTTGCATTAAACGCTTTCTTCATATTTCGAATCTTTTACATTCCAGAGCATCTTTTACATTAACTGTTTTTATAATTCGAAGCCATTTACTTGTCTTTTATGCAATTTTACATGTCTTTACAATTAACATTTATTCATGCAATTTAGTTTCGCGCACATATATTTTGATTACACCTTTAGATCTTTAAGAGAGAAATCGAAATAAGTCAAACACCTACACAACACTCTAAATACCAACCATGAATATCTGTTCGATCATGAGAGTTACCCTAATGACCAATAAGTCCTAGGATCAATCTAGTCGATCCTGCGAGTTACCAGAGAAATTGAATAACAGTCAGTAAGTTTATTCGATAGTTTGGAAGACTAGCGGTTGTTTACCAGAAATCACTGGAAACAAACATATGAAAACAAAACCACTGCTCTTATTCCATCTGAGTTGTGCACAGACCCGCCGCCATCTTACACGTACTCCAATCCTCCGCTTTGCGTGCAGATCCGCGGCGACGCCGCCACGCTCATTGCAATTGTTTGAGTTAAGAAGGTATTCGCAATGTATATCGTAGGTTCTCGATGGTACTGTACTAATTCCTTCTGCTTTACACACAGATCCGCAGCCACCTTATATGGACTCCAATCCTTCCGCTTTGCCTGCAGATCCGCGGCGCCGCCGCCATGCTCACCGCATTTGTTTGAGTTAAGAAGGTATTCACAATGTATCGTAAGTTCTCGATGGTACTGTACTAATTCATTCTGCTTTATGCACAGATCCGCAGCCATCTTACACGAACTCCAATCCTTGCGCTTTGCGTACAGATCCGCGGCGACGCGGCCAGGCTCACTGCATTTGTTTGAGTTAAGAAGGTATTCACAATGTATATTCTAAGTTCTCGATGGTACTGTACTAATTCCTTCTGCTTTACGCACAGATCCGCAGCCACCTTATATGGACTCCAATCCTTCCGCTTTGTGTGCAGATCCGCCATGGTCAATTATATGTTGCAATTTCAAGAGTTAAGAGCAAAAGTGGGCTAAAAATCCTAATTCATGACAAGGAGAATGTACCGTGTTCTACTACTACTAATGTTGTGTACAAGGAAGTCTTTCAAGCACTTTGATAGTTGGTAAATTTTATATCTTATACTTTACGATTCAAATTAAAAATCTATTTTGAATTAAAATATATAGTATGTACATTTTCCATGTATTTCAAGAAGTATATAATTTTTCCTATTTGTTCATGCAGACGTGATTTGTTGATAGGACCGACGCTTGCTACAAATATGGAGTTAAATGCCAACATGGTTTACATGAGACATATACTCAACTGAAAACATGGTAACATACTTAATAATTTAATAATCTATAAATGTAATGTGAATCCAGACGAGACCCGTGCGATAGCACGGGTTTGTTACTAGTTTTAGAATAAACTTATTAATGACCTATGTGACAATATGTTGTAAAATACCAACACATATAAATTGTTCTGTTGCAAGACACTTGAGGAAATTACTGCGTCAAAAATAGTGATAACTCAACGCAAATATGGAGAAATGGAAAGAATTTTTTCTGTCACCTCCAAATTAAACTTGACATTCTCAATATTATTATTTTTATCATATTAATTTTATCAAATAAAAAACCTATTTCACTATTCATTTGTTTCATTTTGAATTTTTTGTAAAACTTTCAATCATACTGGATTTTTCATTCAAATACTGAATTTATGACAAATGAGTATACAATTTTTTATCAATTTTTTTCAAAAAAAAAATATTTTTATCTGTTTTTTAGAAATGTATGATAAAAACTCATGATTCTCATACTTTTTAGTGAATACATTCAAAATTCCATTAAAAATGCATACTAGTTATTATGAAAAAACCGACAAAAATGTATATTTTTTATTAGATATTTTGAAAAAACTGGTATATTTGCATGTAATTATATCGAATATTTTGAAAAAAACAATAAAAATTCATATAGTTATATCGGCTATTTTGAAAAAAAATCGGTAGTGGAAAATGTTATTTAGTTTACCGGATATTTTTTAAAAAAATCCAGGAAAACCATAATGTTTTCAGATTTTTTAAAAATCTGGTAGTTCATATTTCAATGTTTTATTATATTTGCAGCAAGGACCGGAGATCAGACAGGACGATTACTTCTAGACAACGTGACAGAGTTGCAACTGCTGCAACAAGGGTTCGTGCGAGGGAAGATGGGGTCGAGGACTCGCATATCTGGGCGAGAAGAGTAGCCCCGACAGATTCTCACAATAGGTGGATGAGCAGTTTGACGCACTCTGTTGTATCCGACGTAGATGATCTAGATTTGTTGTTGGATGGACCAGAGATCCTGATGATGAGCCAGTTGTTGACGATGTCTAGGCAACAATTTAGGATGTAGAGGGTCACGATGATAGGAAGATGGTGACCAAGACAGAGTTCACTACTAGGAAAAATATATTTAATCTTGGTTGGATATGAGGTGTTACCTCAGTTTCAAATGCAAGATAATGAAGGGCGTCATAAAAAATGTCACTTTACCTCAGTTTCACTACTTGTAGTTTTATTTTATATTTTTTCAATCTACAAGTACAAATGTTTGAGAAATTCTAAATTCGATTCATCATCATCATTGTCAATCTGGAGTGAAGATCAAATATTGGATCCTCGTTTCATTAGATTTTGGGGAAGATCAAATGTTGGATATTGCATGCATTTGTTTCTGATATAAAATAAAAAATATTAGATAAATAAAATAAATTTTTAGTTAAAATCATTTCAAAAATTATTGCAGACAAATTAGCTTCTATCACGCCCTTAATTATTTCAAAGGAGCAAAGAAGGTTTGTGAAAAGGGAGAAACATCAAAGATTGCATTGGCCTAACTTCTTAGGCTATTAATCTTTTGAGGAAAAAATCCTTTGGTAGTAATCTAGCTCTGAAAGTTAATATAGCTAAAGCCTTTGACTCTTTGGGTTGGTCTTTCTTGATGCAGGTCGTTAAGTGTTATGGTTTTAACTGCAAATTCAACAATTGGATTTATTCTATTCTCAAGTCAACAAGGATTTCTATATCAGTCAATGGAGATCTAAATGATTTCTTTGAGTGTGAGAGGGGGTGAGGCAGGAAGACCCCATTTCTCCTCTTCTTTTTTGTATTGCAAAATATGTTCTTAGCATGGTAATTTCAAATCTTGTCAATAGAAATTTGCTGAAGCTAATTCCAGGCCCTAGAGGTTGTCTTCTGCCTTCTTAATCTCTCTTTATTGATGACATTATGGTCTTTTGCAGGGGTAACAAAGCATTCATTGATGCTTTAACCAACTTGTTTTCTAGATATATGTCATTACTTTTGGTCAAGTGATGAATCATACCAAGTCTACTATTTTTGTTGGTTCCATCTCTGATGCTAGGCTTTATCACATTTCTAATCTCATAGGTTTCAAGATTTGTACTTGTCCTTTCACCTACCTTGGTATTCTTATCTTCAAGGGTAGGCCAAAAGCTAGTTTCCTGAAACATATTGATGACAAGGTCTTGGCAAGGATTAGTGAGTAGAAAGGCTCTCTCTTGTCTTTTACAGGCAAGGTTCAGCTGGTGCAATCTTCTATTCAGTCCATGTTGATTCACAACTTCTCAATGTACTCTTGGCATGTTTCTCTACTGAAGTATATGGAAAAAAGCATTAAGAATTTCATTTTGTTTGGGAAAATTGACAAAATCAAGATGGTGATTATGGCATGGAGAAATGGTTGTAAGCATACATCTCAATGGGGTCTTGGTTTGAAATCTTTGATCCCTCTAAACAATGCCTCTAATTTCAAGTTCTGTTGGGATGTGTTGAACTCTCAAGAGGATTGGGCTTTGCTACTTAAAGCTAGAACTTTAAAGAATGGGGTCCTCTGCTAGTACCACATTCATTCTTTCATCTGGTGCAGCTTAAAGAAGGAGCTTAAGGTGATAATGTATAATTCTTCCATTTTGACTAGCAACGGTCTTTCAACCTGATGATATTTCAACCCAATTCTGGTTAGACTCATGGTGTGTCCCTCCATTGATTAATCGTATTCATAATTGATAAGTGCAAACTGTAGCTATTTTTGTATATTCTTTTTGTTGCACTTATCGACTTTTTATTGTTAATATTGTTGAATAAACCCGACTTTTGTGTAAATACGTTTAGTTTGTGTTTATTTGTGTTTTTGTGTACATATGGTACCGTTTGATGTTTTTCCATTCATTTTGTAGGTATTGATGCGTATTTGGAGCATGAGCAATAAAGTGTCGAAGACACAGCCTCAAACGCGCGATTTTGAGCAACTCGTCAATGAATAAGGCTCAAAATCAAAGAATAAGAAATAATCAATTTGGTTGATATTTTGTCATTGTTATAAGGAGCATTGAATAAGATTTCCAACGCTTCGAACCGGGCGCAAATCGAAGTTACGGTTCAAAAGTTATGGTTGAAACAGTGCAGAATGATGTGCTAGTTTTTGAACTTACTGTCAGCTGTCGCCGGGCGATGCTTTTTGGTCGTCGGGCGATACTGGACAGCCAGAAATACGTATTTAGGGCCAAAACACATTTTTTTAGGTTATGTTTTGGGTATTTTTGGTCCCAATTCATCAAACCTCCATTTTTGGTCTTGAGAAGCTATAAAACAACATTGGAGCTTGCATCTTGATGATCTGGAGTCGAATTTCTCATCAATCGGCGCTAACAATCCATGAGATGTTTGGTTTTCTCCATTTCTTCTCTATGTATTTCTCTATTTGTTGGGTATGTTTGTATATTTACTTTGAACATATGTATATTTGTTGATCATGGTGTTGTATAAAGCTTGCTTTACAAATCAATCTTGATGTCTTCTTTGATCTTTTTGCTTTATGTTTGGATTTGGGTTATTATAGACATATACCTCACAAATCTTGATTAAGGATGAATATCTATTGGTTTCTAGATTCTAGAGATAGATTTAGAGCTAATATTCACTTTGGGTGCTAAAGCTTAATGCCTCCGTGTTATTGTAGCGCGCAAGAAATTATTGATAGAGTAATACGGTTGGTCTCGCGACTTGGTGTTAGACATAAACTTCGTTGTGGGTATATCTCGTGGTGCCCGTGATGATTTTGACGAGTACAGTAGGTTGAGTGCAACGAATCAATATGTTTAAGTTTGTGACGAGTAGTGTAAATTCCTGCCTGTTAGGTTTCTCCTTTCTATTTAATGTATTTATTTTCTTGTTGTTGTACCCCAAAATTTTCCCTCCCATATTTCTCAAGACATTGCAAGAAAAATCTCCAAGTGGCTCAAGGTAGCTCAAGAGTTGGTCAGACAAGCTATCTCCTAAGGTAGTCTACCCCAAATTAGGGTTTTGCATTGCATCAAGATCCTTGAGTCCAAATGACCTCAAGTGCTCCCCAATGTCCTAATACGCTCTCAAGATCATCCATGTCAAATTTCAAGCCTTGCAGAGGAAGTTTGCCCAGTCAATTGCCCAAAGGGTCCAAAAATCGACTGTGCTAGGGCAAAAGTCAACTGTGACCTACATACAGTCAAACTTCAAGATTTTTGTCAACATTCTCATTTTGAAGGATATTTCAGCATTTGATCAAGGGTTGATCATGATTCATCAAGGATTGCTCACAATTCATCAAGACTCAAAAGTTGCTAAATTAGGGTTTTGTAGGAAAAGTCAACTCAACTTTGACCAAGCATAACTTTCTCATACTTTATGAGAAATGACCCATCCAAATCTCATTTTTAATAGGATGCAATTTCCTACAATCCATCTTCATACCCCAAGATCCTAAAATGCACTCACAAGAAGTTATGAATTTGGACATTATAGGTCATTTTTAAAAGTCAACAAAAACACCTTTTTTTCCAAAGCTTATAACTTGAGAATGGAATATCAAAATGAGATTAGACCAAAAGGGTTGGATATAAGACATATCAAGATTTATAAAAAGTCCAAGAACATCTCCAAAAGTTCAAAATTGAAGAAGTTATGCATTGTTGAAGTTGGACTTTTTTGCAAAATTGCCAAAAGTCAACTATCTCAAAAACTTCAAATTTTGCCAAATGGGCCCATTCTTTTCCACTTGATTTGAGTTTGCATCATTTCCCACGTGCCTTGGCTCCAACCATGTGCCCATATTTCATTTTTATGATTTAATTTGATTTTTAATTGATTTTATTCATTTTTAATCAAATAAAATCATATAAAATCCAAGGAATTAATAACTCATGATTTTCGGATTGATTTAGGCTTTGTTTACAGCTAGAATCACCATCAAATTCGTATCAAATCAAATCATGTGCAAAAAGATTGAAATGAATCAAATTTGGAAAGATTTAATGGAAGAATCAAATCCACATCAAAGTCATTGATAGAGGGAGATTTGTACCAAGTTTGTAAACCTAATGCACTGAGTGATACATAAGGAAGCTAAAGCACACGAAATAAGGGTTGGAAAGTGTGGGAAGAGGCAGAACAAAAGTGCAAAAATTCACAAAAAAGTGAGAGATCAAAGTCCAAGTTAGAGGCAGTTTCAGGACACGAGAGTGGTCTCAATCGCTTCCTGACCATTCACACAAGCTAACTGGATCAAAACCACGCATCCTCAAGCCCCCAAACGCACTATAAGTCTCACGAAAACGATCCCTGCTCTTGAATTCGATTTGATCTGTTCTTGCATCATTTGAGAAAACTAATGACATATTTGTGATCACAAGAGCATTTGCAAGCTTTTCATAATATTCAATTGCATGTATCTGGCTTATATGAAGAACCAACATTGTTAGGGTTCGGTTCTTGTTTTTGGGCATTTTTGTTTCAGGTGCAATTGGTTCACATAATGGATATGGTTGTGACCGGGAAGGTGAGACGATCACAACCATGCCCTTGAAATTCATTTTTGTGGCCTGTAGCGGATTTTTGAGATGAACAAAGTTGTAGTGAAGGAGCTTGATTCGTTGGTATAGGCCTTCTGTGTTTTAGCCACAGACGAGAGGTTGGGGATGATGCATGGCATCCCATTATTGGTCGGTTCAAACATAGCGCGCGTTTTATTTTTTTTTTCTGACCAATAATTCTTGTTTTATTATATTATTATTAATTTGTGTTAATATAACAAACAAATCAATATGGTGTAGTGGCAAAGCAAGCGTGCATATCTCCTTCAGGACCTGGGTTCGAATCCCAGGTCCCCTACTTTCTCAATAACTTTTGTTTTCAGGTATTTCCATGTGCGCTCAAATCTGCAGCCTACCATGCTCCCTCATCCATCCAAATGCCAGATGGCCAAGAGCCAGATCTGGTGGTCAAAAAGCTGGAGGTCCACCATGAGCCAAATCAACATGCCCACATTGGATCCCAGATGGTCAAACAGATCAACTT